TGCATGTATTTTATTGACTGTGAAACAAAGTATTATATATATGTATGTGTGTGTGTATATATATATATATGTGTGTGTGTGTGTGTGTGTGTGTATATATATGTATGTGTGTGTGTGTGTGTGTGTGTGTGCGCGCGCGTGTGAGTGATCACATAGAGACAGAACTCATTTATAATACATTATATAATGATGTATAATTTTGTATAACCTCTTTTTTCAAAACTATTTCAAAATATTGTGCAATATGAATATTATTAACATAATGTAATATTCTGTTTATTTTTATTCTCTCAATCGATGTATCTATATACATACATATATCTATATATGTTCTACTTGATCGATGTATGTATCTGTATATACATACATATATCTATATATATTCTACTTGAACATATTAGGATATAGTTTACTAACTTAAAAAGTTTTCTTCATTTGACACAGCAAACTATTACAAATATATTTCATGATTTTTTTTGCAAAAATGGAAAGATTTACGAGGTGTTTTTGGATATTATTTAATGATGTTTGAAGAATGTTTGTAAATTTTTACACGTGTGTAGTTATAAATATATATATAAAGAATTACTGTACATATATAGATTTAGAAATATTCTTCAAACATTAACCATTAATTCCCAAAAATAATCAATCCCGTGAATCTTTCTGTTTCCGCAAAAAAATCATCGAAATATGCCCATTTTTTGTTGTGTCGAATGAGGAAACTCTCTTAAAGTAAAATATTTTACTTTGCATATTTTAATCAACTTTCAACATTACTTTATTACATTTCTTATTACAGAATTCTTTTCAGAAAGGATCTTTAATTCTTTTCAGGATGTGTATGACAAAACATTAAAAACTAATCCGAAAAGCGTTCATTCATGTAAATTTTTATTTAAGTTAAATAAAATATTATTTCCAGTTTATAAAAACTAAAAAGAAATAAATATTGCATAAAATATCAAAGATACCAGAATTAAGAATAAATAAAAAACAAATTAGATAAATATAAATATGAATATGACTAATATGAATATAGTATATATCTTAATTATAAAATATAATAATAACTCACAAAAATTGATATATTGAAGCACCGACATAGATAAATTGTCATTGGAGTAATGATAATCAGTACTATCAGTATAATGTATGTTAGAAGACAAATTAGTAAAAAATGAATTATTACTCTTCTGATTCTTATGTGAATGCTGCTGATCGGATGGAACAGAAAGATCTGTACCGGGATAATTGTATATAGAAGAAGTATTATGAGAATTATTATAACAGTTGTACTGAAAAGGAAGAGAAGAAACAAAAGGAAGTTCAGAATGAGGAACGGCTATGGGGTGGAGTTGTTGATAAGATGGGACATCGGCATACAAAGTAGCATGTTTTGTAGAAGATAGCTCATGGAGTTTTTTAGAATCTATTGATACTATGTTGAGACTCTCCAGCATTCGGTTTCGTTTCATGATTTCTGAAAATACAATAATATTAATCTATAAGTCTATAAACAATGATATATATATTTTAATTTATCATTTTAAATCATGGATAATCAATTTAGCTGTGTATATAGTATGAAAAGATGTAATACAGAAAATAATACCTTTTGTCATATAGGATGCAAAGATGAAATATTGTTTTCTGACTAACTGAACTATTATTGATATCTTTTACAGGCATTTTATCCACTGATATGTTACACTGAATCTCTTGTAAAGTTTTTCGATGGGTACTCTAAAACAACAATTAATATAAGTTAAAAATAATATTTTTTACTTTTAAATTTGTTACATTGTGTAATTGAAACCTATAACAATAAGGTTTTGACAGTATGAAAACCTCGATGGTGTTTTATTTATATTGTTTTTCATCTTTACTGTCTCTTAGTCATGAAAATGTCAGAAAATCTATAATGGCTATAATTGTTGTCTTTTCTGTCTAGATATTTGTTCGTATTTTCTATTTATAGTATCTATGAATTGTGACTATGACAAGCCTGGGAAGTTGTGTGTGTGTAACCAAATCTATTTGAGACATAAAACAGACATAAAAAGAAGGAAAATGATAAATTACGCTGATAAAATAAATTACTTTCTTACAATAAAATCTACTAAACTAACACTAAATGATTTTTTATGTTAATCAATTTAACAAGATCAAAATAATAGAAAATATTATTTTACAGATGTATGTCTTAATGCAATTTACAATAATAGTAAGCCTAGTTATGATAATAAACTAGTATATTATATACAACTGTTATTCAAAAAATGCAATTAAATATAATAATAAGTAATAATAGTAAATAATTAATAATAAGTCTTTTAAAAACTACTAACATTTTTGCTCTAATACTTTCTATTAAATTTTAATACAATATAATAGAAATCATTATTAATATTCATTGTTATAATACAATTTTAAAAGCAAATATATAGTAATCTTAAATAAATTAGAATGAAATTGATACAAAGTTGATGATAAAGATAATCTCAGATAAATTGATATATTAAATTTATATGAAGCAATGAGAACAATTTATATTTTGTTTGCAATGTTAAAAGCATTAAGTTAAATTATGGAGAAAAAAATAATACAATACAGCGATTGAAGAACATGTTTTGAAGAATGCCTTTTTTTACCGTGGGAAGCACAAGCAGAAGCTTCTGAAAACTATGCTTTTTCAAACATTTTAATAATTACACGAATCATTGTTTTTGGATCAAGTAATGCATTATCAACTTTTCTCTTTCTATTCCCATTGACATTCTGGGCACAAGCTGCTCCAGCTTTTAAAATAATTCTGGATCGTGCAGCCTTCAATATATATATATATACCACCAGATCCTTTCTGGAGAGAATTACTTTAAAAAAACTCTTTAAAAAAAGATTATATATAAATTATACATAAAGTCATATTAAAAATTGATAAAGCATGCGAAGTAAAATATATTATTTTAAATTGCTATACCTTAGCATGTTCAGATGGGATAGGTAGCAAATCGATATACATCGATTGAGGTAATGCATTATTGGAGGAAATTGTTCTGTAAAAAAGTCAGAATCAGAAGTATTAATACATAACATAAATATTGCAAAGTATTTTTTTTTAAATATCAAAAATTGCAGCACATAAAAATTATTAACATACCTTGCTTTCAACCACCTCCAAGATATATAGTTAGTCATATAGCAATACGGTCACGTATTAGTACAGAGTGGGTTTCTTAAAGCAGAAGAATCGTTGAAGAGTGAAATAAGGAATTAAATTATAATAAAATGTTAGAATGAAAGAAAGTGAAATAGAAATTCTACAATTTTATGCAATTAATACACATTCCATAACATACTGTATTTGGTAAAAAAGAGAAAACACTAAAGTTAACTCTATTTATTTATTGATAAAAGAAAGCATGGAAAGTGGGATATGATTACTTGATTTTATTTCCTGACATACTTTTGTTTAAAGTTAAATATAAAAAATAAAATCTATAATAAAAATACATATATTGAGATGAATGAATTTATAAGTTGATATCAAATTCTTTAATTGTGAAACACTAATTTATTTTGTAAAGAACAATTTTTATAAATATTATTTCAATCCAAATAAAATTACCACAAAAAAATATCAAAAAAGACTAAACATATTTATAATAATCTGATCTGGAATTTAGCAGTTCTTGTTAATAAAATATTGTTATAGAAACATACCACTGTTCCAAAATTACTAATCCATCAAGATTTGACGAAGAATGCTTATGTAACACTGTTTCTTCCTTTTTTTATTAACTTCTTCTTCTGAATCTTTATGACAATCATCTTTATGATCAATATTTATATCATTTTCCTCACTTGTAGTTTGATTTATATTTTCAACAGTAATACTGCTTTCGCTTATTGAATCAGCCTCATAATCCGATTTCTTCAAAATCAATTGTGAAGTTGTTTGAGAAAGAGACACTTTTCGTCTCGCTTCTGTTGCTTTTGAATTTTTAATAGAATAATTTCTTTTTTCATTATCTATATCTTTAAACTTGCTTTTAGAAAGATGAAAATTATCTAATTCGACTTGAACTTGATTATGACACTTAAGATTCTTTCTCGCATATTTCAACTCATTTTTTTTATCTCGTGTAATTTGGGAGGCAAGTTGTATTTCTTCCCAATGGCAACAGCAACTTCATGCTCAGAAGCAACAGAGCCAAATGATTTTTTCAACTTAATTTTTCTTTTTTTGTCATTACTCTTGCCGTTCAATTTATCATCCATTTCTTTAAAAAATTAATCTTCAGCTTCTTCGAGAATCTTTTGATTATCTACCAGACAAACATCTATTTAGAGCAATGCAAAATAGCAATGTAACTTATAACTTTAGAGATTTCAAAAGTCTTTTAAATATCATCTTTAGATTATGCATATTGTGTGAGTACTTTATACTTCTGTATATAATAAAATTTCATGCTTTGTATTATGCTATATAAAAAAATATAGACAAAGATGTATAAAAATAAATATAGACATAGATGTATAAAATATGTATCAAATTCGTTAAAACTTACGATTTCCAAAATGCGAGCTGGAAATGCTTGTTTGCCAAACTTAACCTGAGACACACATCTAGCATGCCGATCCTCTTCATTTACATCGCTTATTTTCATTTTAATAGAGGTATGCTGCTCTTTTATCCACCATACCATTTCATTTTATGCTCATTTATAAAAGAAATAGTTTTCTTCTTATCATAAAAACGATTGGCAAAAACAGATTGGCAGGATTTATAAAAGGCGCTTACACTAACGAGACTGACGAAAGACGCGAGACTCGAGTGGAAGGGATGCGCAGTCAGGGAAAAAGCATTGCATGCTTTCTTAGTGCGCATTTCCGCCATTTGATTCTCGTGTTTCTTATCGGTGTTGTCAGCAATTTGTAATCTCTGCCTTAATGTACGGATCTTTTCTTCTACAAATCCTGCCAATTCTAGTATTCTGCAATAGGTCTGCAGTTTTTAACTATCATATAGTTTTGTGATCCGAAGAAAATTAAACTATTTATACGGCTTTTCTTTTGTGCACACACACACACACACACACACACACGCGCGCGCGCGCGCGCGCGCAAGAAATAATTATATTTTTAGAAAGATAAGTCTGTGCCTAAACTATCACAGCCTTCCTGGATTGTCAATCTTGCCTTTCTTGCGGATATCACTAATCATTTAAATACATTAAATTACTCTTTACAAAGATAAATTAATTATTCATATATTTGATCAAATTAGATCTTTTAAAATGAAACTTAATTTATGGATCAATCAATTTCAATCTCAACAGTTGTTGCATTTTTCAAATTTATTATCTGTTGCCATGTATATTCAAGTGCGTTCGAAAACATCCCTTACTAGGTGTGAGTGAGGTGATTTAGGAATGCGTTGGCGGGGGTAATTGGGAACTCAGAGAACTATTGGTTTTTGAACGATTCCTGTGTGAAATGTCAAATTATCAAAATGGATAGTGCTGATGAATCACATCGAAAGCATTTGATTTTTTTATAGACTATAGTGATCAGCGATGAATTTTTAAAATATAATTTAAATGTAATAGATGATAGTGATACAGACGAGGAAATTGATACTATTTTCCTGACAAGATATCGACACAGATTGCGTGGGACACGAAAGAAGCCATTGCGCATTATAAATTATGTAGACAGAACTGTTCCAGGTCTAACGGTAAAACAATTTCGTGAGCATTTTCGCATGATTCCTGATATATATGAGATTCTAGAAGGAAAATTAAATTTTTTACTAAACCATAAGAATCATTTGGGCAGACCTATCATTCTTGTTCGCAAACAGTCTGCATTGTGGCTTCTCGCTACTCCTAATTCTTACAGATAAAAATGCTCCATGAAAGTAAGACACTTTATTTTTTAATTTATTGTTGTCAGTAATGCTGTAGTGTACACTACAGGTCTGTAGATGAGCGATTTGACATAGGAAAATCATCTGCAAGTGATTCTTTTATGAGAGTTGTTGAAGCCTTAATGATATTGCTGTTGACGTCATTGTCTGGCCCCGAGACCGGCGTATTGCTGTTCAAGAGAAGTTTCAGTATTGGAAAGTTACCATATGTAATAAGAGCTATAAATGGAACAAACATACTAATCAAAGCTCCAAAGGCATTTTGATGGAGAAAAAAGTGGAACAGAATAATAATTCCGTTTTAATTTTTCTCTGTAAAGTGTTTGTCATACAGAATCTGAAAAAGAAGAACAGATTTCCTTTTACTATTCCATTCTATTTCTATCTCTATTAGGGTACACCTTTAGAATAATATTTCTAGCTAAAGTCTGATTTTTCCAAAATCGGTTAATTTTAATCTTGTTGATAATACTTTTATTTTCTTTTTCAAAACTTATTTTAGAGATAAAGATATAGTTACTAACGATTACAATTATGTGACATTGGAATATTGGAACAACTTTAAGGTATGATTTCACTTAATATTTATCAGATGTAATGACTGACTATTAAATAGAGAATTCTTAAAGTCTGTCAAAAGTTTAAGAATTCTCTATCTAATAGCCAATCATTATCTGCCTGACATGTTATTAAATGTTAAGTTAAATCCCAACTTAATATATCTTATTTCTAGATAGACGCACACTTCCATGCTCTATAAGTAAAGACAAGGAATACGCAATAACATTACAAGCAGTGTGTGATGCAGAACTTCGATTCTTAGATTGCTTTGTTGGATTTGCTGGATCAGGGGAGATCGGCGTGTTTTTCGAAATTCAGATATATGGAAGGAAGTCAATGCAAACAGAGCATTCTTTTTTGTAGAGCAGGATTATATTATTGGAGACAAGGATTAAGCTTCATGTTTGTCATGGTTGATATCACCATTCATTAATTTAGGCCAACTTACACAAGTAAGATGTTTAAATTAGAGATGGATTGAATAGCATGTGCTTTATAATAGTTAAAAATTATCTTTTTTTATCCCTTTCTTATATGTTCTAGACTCAGATAAAATTTAACACAGCATATGCCAGTATGAGACAAGTTATTGAAAGAGCATTTTTGTTGCTAAAAGGTAAATGGAGACGACTAAAATTCTTGGATATAAATCGTGATGACATGATTCCCTTTGTCATTCTGGCAAGTATACTACACAATATTTGTCTTGATAATGGATTGGAAGATTATGAAGACTTTTTATTATCGAAGGACACGATGATGACAATGATGATGTTTATAATAATCATTTTAATAGGCAACCAGTAAACTTCCAAGACAATCCTGAGGGTATATTAAAACGACAATATCTTTCTATTGTCATTTGCTGATTCAGACTCTACATCAAAACACAGGGTTGCCTCGCTTTTTTATATCCCACAGAATCTATGCCGATATCTTGTCAGAAAAATAGAAAACATTTCCTTGTCTGTATTACTATCACTTGTCTGTATTTTTGTTTATGTCTATATTAATGTGATAAATAAAGTTTTGATATTTATAAATAAAAGTTATTTATTAATTTTATTTGTATTGCATAATATTATTTTCAAATTTTACTACTTATAAGTAATAATTTATATTTGTAATATCACAGCCATTACAAAACTTATATTGCAAAATTATATTGCAAAAATATAATTCAATATCACAGATTCATTTTATAACGAGCTAAAAATATCAAAAATAAAAACTCACTTTCAGTCAATAATAAAAACAAAAATAATGTACCATGAACTTCAAATTGCAACAAAATATTAGAAAATGCAAATTAGAAAATTATTAGAAAATTGCAACAAAATATTAGAAAAATAATTTTCTCTACGATAAAAACAAAATATTGATTTAAGAAATAAGTTAGCGCATAGAATTTAGCAATGAAAGCATTTGATATTGCAAAATTAAAATAAATACACACTGCACTGCAATATCAATATTCTGATTACATTTTGTTATTCAATATCAGTATTGAACATTTATGATTTATGTAAAAATTATGTAAAAATATAAATTATAAAAATATAAACAAATTTTCAGTACTAACAATGAATATAGACCTACTCAGATAAACTTGTATAATCGCACAAATATATGCATAAGGAAATTGATCTTTATGCATATTTATGCAATTATGTAAATTTATTTGAATAGATTGTAACAAAATCTTTTTACTAACTTAAAAAAAATATACAAAAATAGTACATTTAAAGATTAGACACTATAGTACTATGCGCTATATAAAGTAGAATTAACTTATAATTATAGTTTTTCAAGGAGTTTTTTCATAAAATGTTCATATGTTTCTCGTGCTTTGTCCTGACATGCTAATAATTTTTGGTGTCTTCATTCTTTGGCTTCATCACGTTTCTTGTTTTTCTCGCTGATCATTTTTGTCCAAATTTTTAATTCACACGCGTTTCACACGCGTCTTTGATTTTTTTGATTTTTTTTCTTTTATCATCTTCTATATTATCAGTATCGCTGGTTGTATTATCAGCAGTATTAGAAGATGCTGCTAAATGAGATCTCTTTTTCAGATTTAAAGCTAACAGGTTTTAGGCAAGGCTTTTCTCCCAATATCTCCTCCAATTCTTCAAAATATTTGCAGGTTTTCGGTTCCATTCCTGTCTGATTATTATGTACGTTTATACATTTTAGTTATATCTTTAAACTTATTTTCATAATTCTTAGCAGTATATTGCCAGTATTGTTGGCATTTTTCAGTTCCTCACTTATTTTTGTCCATACAACATCATTTCTAATGATACTACTTTAAACAGCGATTGATGCTGCTTTCATTGAAATGAGTGTCTTTACAGCATTTTATCTTTCCAAAACACAGTAGTTTTTTTCATCATATATTAGAGTCTCACTTGAAAGCATATTTGTATCATTTTCACAAGTTGATTTTTTGGATTTAGGGAATTCATCAAAACACTGCCAAATTTGCGGGACGTCTGATACTTCAATCATAGTTTTCTATAAAAACAATTAATAAAATACTAAGTCAATGCAAATATCGATATGAGAATAATACAAATTTGATTTCGGGTGAAATTGTAACATTTGATAAAAAGAAACTATCGAAAGATGAAAACGTTGTGAAAGATACTCAGTGGAAGCAATCTTTGTCAATCTTTGTTTGAAAGTATCTTGTTGAAAGTATTAAAAATAATCTATATTTA